ATAATAACGGTTGCTTTCGCTGTCTTATGCTCCAGAGGGCATGCAGATATCCATAGCGGGAGGATGGATATAGGCATATGAAATGCCCAGCGCGTTTCGTTGAATATATTGCTCTTGGATGCCCGATATTGCGGCACTATCTCACTACGCTGACTTGTGATCTGTCTGTTCGCTGTTTAGACTAGGCATGAATCGCTGAGAAAGCAGCGCAATCTTTTGCGGCGTAATGGGATTCTATGAGTTGGTAGTGTTTTTGTCAGAGGTACTTTGGAAGTGATGGGTGCTATCTTGCTCCAGGTTGATTCCGCCTATCGATGGTTCGCCTTGTAGAGCATTTTATCGGGCGACGTACAAGGGCCTTTTTTAAGCTTCTGTCAGGAGGCTGGCGATTCTCCTTTTTTCTCTCTCGCCTGTCCTGGGACCTTTATGAGTAACTGAAAAACTGATCCTTACGGGCGGTGAATTCATTTGTGATGAGATGATTGCTAATGAGTGTTGGTAGATGACGCCTAAGGATCAAGGCGAGAAATTCTGTTGTAACACTATGTTTTTGCGTGCTTCCCACATAGTTCCTGTTGTGGGTGAGGGGGTGACTTAATCGAATGCAATCTCAATCGGCGCAAAGCCGGTTGTTTTTCGTTTTTTACAAGGCAAGACATTTTGCCTACTAGGGTCGAATTGATGAGTGCGGGTGGTCCGCGGTAGTTGTCTTCCCAGGCCTAAATGCAGATTATGGACTGGTAAGCCGACGCCTCTTTAAGTTGGCGCCGGACCAATGGCACTTCAGCACTGTCGGCGCGGAGAGAGACAGGTCAGACATGCGCAATAACTGCAGCTATTGTTATCGACTTCCTCCAAAATGTAATGACAGGTAATCGCTGGCGCGAATAATGTGACGGTCAGACTTCTACCGATGCGGCGCAGCGATAATGTGGTTTAAGCTGAAAGAGTCATGTTCCTTTTGGGCTTTTGTTTATGGAAATATTTTAAGGTATTCTGTAAGCTAGAATGCAGTTGCTGTAGATGATAACGCAGGTTTAACATTCAGAAATCTAAAGATCGAGCAAGGCGCGATAGGAATTGCAAGTGCTGCGGTTTTTCTCTACCAATGGAAGCATGGTGGGATGTGCTCTAGAAGTATATGTAAGGGTATTCGCCCCAATGATTTACCGTTTTTCACATGCTTTTAGCCAACCAGTAGGTCCATTGACGATAGGTCTTATTTAAATTTAATTACTAGATCTCATATGAGAGTAATGTTCACCTCCAGGAGATGCGCTATGAGGCTTTAGTTAGGATTCTATTTTTAGAGCGAAGAGGTTGATTGCCATGGCAATGGGCGAACGTTATCGTTGTTTGAGTTAGAAAACGTGGTATAATATCACAGCGGTACGAAAGAAGCGGATTCGTATTTTAGTGACTGGGAAATAGTTGTTCTCTAATTGAAACGTTCGCTGGCAGAGCTATAAGCTTTTGCTAGACTCGAAAACGTGTTCCACTGGTTGGTGTTGACGTGAAGGTGTTCTATTAAAGACTTCGCTCAGTCGAGGAACTTAGGTGTGACACCACGATGGTTATAACAAGCTGGGACGCGATTTAACAGTAGGAATTTTAGGACAGAACCGGTTACAACAGCTTTTAGAGACAATAGATGTGATCCTGATTTCGCAGATGCTTCTGACTCATGTGGAACGATGATGGTCTAATCTAGTTGGTATTTAGGGGAATGAAGATATCGACATGAGGATTGTAGCGCAGATCCTCTCTCCGTTCAGACTATACGTGAGAGGTCGAATTATTTTTGAGTTTGACAGGACATCTCCCC